GATTCTAACATTTTATCATTTTGTTTAATCTATCAATTGCTGATGCGTCGCTAGTTTCAACATCGCACATCCCTTGTATTATTAACAAGCAGCTTAAATAGAATTATTATTAGAGCACTTGGTTCTGAATTGTGAAATTACCAGTCGGTGCGTGTTGAGTTCGCGATTCTTTCTCCCGCTTAGGCCGGTCACCGGTATGAAAGAAAACGAAATGAGCTATTGATAAACAAAGCCGAGCAGTTGGTACTTCCACACCACAACTTACCACTCGTCAACTTTAAATATTAAATATAGGTCGCAACTCATTGATTATTTCTAACATTAACATAGTGTAACCAAATGCACAACAAATAATCAATTTACTTAATTTTGTAAGACAAAGAAAAATGATTTTTTATTCAGACTGATTACAGGTTAATTTCAATTATTAATTACAGTTGAATCTAATTAATATTATAATTAATATAACTGCCTCCGTGACCGAACGGTTACCATGCCGGACTGCCATGCAGAGGTCCCAGGTTCGATTCCTGGGTCGGGAGAAATATTTGTATGGCATACATTTATTCTCTCGTGAGTTTGGGTGTAATTTGTGGTTGTCTAAGTGTGTGTCCATGTCACCCGCGACACAGGGTTTCCCTAGTGTGGGGCTATGTTTAGTGTGTACTGTAAGCTTGGACGTAGCTTGTGTCGCGTAGCGAGAGGTACTTTTATAAATATAAACTGGGATAATCTTCAAAACTTGGTATTTATTGTACTTTTTACATGTTTTCTTATTGCGGTTACATCTTGAACTATCAAGACGTTCTATTCTTTCTAATCTCCTATTTCAAAACACATTCTAAATATAAAACTATATTCACTCAGCCAGTAATTCTACTCATAGAGTAGAGCCTAGACTACAGTACATTATTATTATTATTAAAATAAATAAACGATTTGAGTCCATCTAATTTTATAATTAGTTTTACTTTTTACATTCTGTTTACATTCACACCAAACGTAATAGATTGTTACATTTTGAGTTTCTTAATTCTTTACTATATTTTTAAGCGATGTATTTCTAATAAATAATGAAAACTCGAGATGTGGGGAATTTGTTGGGAATATGAACTTTGATCTCCCCAAATTTGGGGATATTAACCGTGATTTTTGGGGATTTCGAACAATTGGCACTGGCAACGCTGATTGTATCGAATGATGTGACTTAATATCCAAGGTACACCACTTCCACCAGATCTTTTAATATTCTTTACTTTATCCATTTTGCATGAACTCTTACAACGTCCACAAGAGTAAAAACCCTAATTGTAATATTGTTTTAAATAAAATCTACTGAAGACGCGCTATAACGTGATGACGATAAGTACAAACACTACAGAATGTCTATAAATTAAATATATCTAGAATAAACTTAAGAACACTAGTTTTTAAAGTATGAATAGACTTTACTGGATGTCTATAGAACAATTTTACTAAAAATAATCAGTTGTTCTACAGATGAACTTAATATAAGTTGTTTTACTTAATTAAGTTGTTTGCTATAAAGTGTTAAAATTTTAACTTGAGTGAAATAGTATGTCTATAAGAACAATTTCTTTTTTCTAAAACCATTTATAGAGAACTATTACCTAAATCAATACCATATTAAGACTGTTTATAGACATAACAGTTTTAAGGCGTATAAAGTGTGCTCCTTGGGTACTGCTGCTAAAGGAGGTTGTCCAATAGCATATATTCTTCAAATAGACTTTCCTTTTATACATAATTAAAATATATAATGGTTTAAAAATGACGCCACAAAATACGTAACTATATTTATAATTAATGGTATTTTATATTTATAAAGTTGAAATATTATTAATAACAAAAAAAATCATATTAACATAATTATTAAAAGTAAATTTTAGAGATATTTATAAATTTCATAAGCGTACTTACAGGGACACAATTTATAAATAGGGGTTCCGTTCTTATTCAGTAGGGTGTCAATACAATATATTTATGAACGTTATTATATTTTGAACGGTAATTAGTGAACGATTACATAGGTATTACTAATTTTAGTTGTGTTCGGAATAGGAGGGTTGCCTGGTTAAATAATTATTGTTTTTCAATTTAAAGGTCGTAAGTAAGAATGCTTGTGGCAGGAACTTACGACGTCAACATTTTAGTACTGCCGTCAACAAACTAAAACGCGGCTAAGTGGTCAAATATGCCTTTTAAATAGCAGTAGGTAGAGCTCAAAAACTATTTAAAAGCAGTTAATGAAAAAGTCCGACATATTGTAACTGATGATGCGTAGCTAAAATATCATTAAACAATTTCAATTACCTAAAACTGGGTCATGGTTTTTTTATGATATCTCAAGTAAGTGACTTTATTACATAGTCGCGTTTTAGTTTACAGTCGGCAATGTAGCTGTAGAGCTCCTTGTGAAAAATCGTCTAGGGAAGTATACTGCCTCCTTACTTATCAGGCACATGAGATTTGTCAACCTTTATCTCAGGGAGACATAGGTTGACATAAGACATATAAACACATATCTACCACAGACCACATAAATACTAGTAAATATCTACCCTTAATATATGACAAAATCGCCGAAATGAATGGTGCCAGAGATTAAACTGTCAAATCACGTAGTCAGGAAAGCAAATTACTGTCAAATTTTTAGGATCCCATGCAATTCACTTAATTAGTCTAATAATAAAGTAAATACAAGTTGAACATCTTAGAAAATGCTTCAATAAAATCTATTCGAGTACAATATAGCAATTTACAGGCAAACTAAAATGTCTCACATAGCACTTGACGTATGGCCACCCCACTTAACCCTTGTCGGTACGAAAATAGCCGCACCTGAAATCATTGGCTCAATACATGAACGCGATTTTCGTTAACCCGTATTGCCTATAATGGGCGTAAAAGGGAACGCTGACATTCTATCGACTGAAATATTGTTTTGAAACTTTATGAGCCTCGGTTCTAGGTACTATAAAGTACTAGAGTTCGTATATAGGTTTCTATACATCCTCCTAAGGCCCCGTGTATATCAAAATGTACATAATATTATTCCTGTGATCACGTTATATCTATTTAAAAGTTCGAAAAATTGCTTAATGGAACCAATCAATTTGTATTCTCGTTTATATATAGATAACTAAATATTATGTATAAATAAAAATAATTATGATAGCGATATGCTTATGATGATCATCAATACGTCGCACATGAAATCAATTACTGTCGTAACTCAAAAATGATGGAATTGAGAAATCACGATTTGAAAATAAAAAAATACTGTATGGGTCTTATTGAGAATAATGTGATTATTGTTATTTATACATAACATTTAGTTACCCATATACAAACGAGAATGAAAATTTATTGGTTCCATTCAGTAATTTTTTGAACTCTCAAGTCGTGTTTTCTCAATTCCATGTGCGATATACATATAAAAAGAACAGTCCTACAAAACTGTGTATACAATTTGACTGCAGGATCTAAACGAGTCTCAACAGAACAAAAAGTTACATATTGAGACATTGACTATTTGTAAGTCAATGTATTGAGGTTAAAAGTTATTAAAGAAAAGAATTAGTAAGTATTTAACAAAAATTTGTGACATAATAATCTATCAACATTTTTACATTTGCAGTGTCACTCAGTGCTTTAAATCGCAAAGATCTGAGGGGCACTGCCACTGCGTCTGTCACCCTGAAACATAAGTTGACAAGTCCCATGTGCCTGTAATTTCACCAGCACCCTTACTCTTCAAAACCGGAGCGAAGTAATGCTCATATTACTGCTTGGCGGCACAAACAGGTAAGGTGCCAGTATTTCCCTGGCCAAACTTTTTTATAAGAAGCTCTACTGCTACTAAAAACATGGGACTACCATGTGCCTGTTATTTCACCAGCACTCTTACCTATCAAAACCGGAACACAGTGATGCTCACACTGCTGTTTGGTGGCAGCTACTTAAGTGTCATTTTCGTGTAAGATATGATCATTCCAAAATATCAGGAAAATATAAAGGAATCATACCTTGGTAAGATACTTGTAATTAGTGAATAATCGTTTATTGAAAAACCACGACAATCTTAAAATTCGGTACGGATCCTTTTAGAGCCAATTACTTATTTCGTAATAATCTCTTTGATGTTTTGTTTGAGGTATAATTGATTATCGCAAGAAATCCATTATAGTTTCTCGAGAAATTGTAGAAAACTAATTAACTACGAGACACAAAATGTTAATAACAATATTGCTTAGTGAATAAAACATCTTCAATGTTACCTTTTGAAACCTTTTATCTATTGAACATGAAAGGAAATACTGCTGTAACTCTAAATGGCGGAATTGAGAAAACGATTTGAAAATTAAAAACAAATACTGTGTGGATCTTATTGAGAAAAATGTTATTTTTATTTATATATAATATTTAGTTGTCCATTTATAAACGAGAATATATATTTATTGGTTTCATTCAGTAATTTTTTATATAAAAATGGAAGTAAATTAATTTGCTACTCCGCGAACCCGGTGAAGGTTAAATCGTGTAAAGCTGCTTCGCTTGTATTGAACATTTTTTCATGCAGTTAATTTTCTCACCTTCCCTCCGCATAAAATTAATAAAATAAATAACACAAGCGCAATTACAGTCACAGACACCACCACCAAAAATATATCCGACACGTGTTTCGCCTCTCTACGAGGCGCGGCATCCTTCAGGGGTTGTTGATTGTTGACAAGCGCAGCAACTTTACTCAACTTAGCCCTCACTGGGTTCGCGAAGTAACAAATTAATTTACTTCCATTTTTATTAACATGGACTTCCGCATAGTAGCGCCTGAATCTATTAATTACTTTCAAATCATGTTTTCGCAATTGCACAATTTTGAGTTACGACAATATTTGGTTTCATGTGCGTTATCATTCGACATCCGTAGTCGAGAGGTTTGCACACCGCTTCTCATTGCGTCACCATCTCAGGTCCTGGGTTTGATCCTCGGCCGGGTCAAAGTAAAAAACTAATAAATAAATAAATAATAAATAACGCACACACTCAACATAGCCCCGCACTAAGGAAACCCTGTGTCGCGGGTGCCATGGACACACACATAGACAACCACAAATTACACCCAAACTCACGAGAGAAATAAATGTAAGCCATGCAAACATTTCTCCCGGCCCAGGAATCGAACCTGGGACCTCTGCGTGGCAGTCCGGCATGGTAACCGTTCGGCCACGGAGGCAGTTTAAAAGTAAAAGTAAAAACTATCTATATTGTCCCGGGTCTGGGTGTTGGTGGAATCGTCGTTGTTTCAGATGTCCATAACATAAATTTTGATCAGCAACGTACGTAATGTTGTCTAATATTTATATATTTTATTTATTTATGTAACTGGCCACTGAACTTTAGAAAACTCAAACTGAAATAATTAAATATTTATATCAATTTCATGGGTAAGTAAATTACACTTGAAATCCTCACATTGATTAAGCTCTATTACTCATTCGTAAGGCAACTTCCCCTGAGAAGGATGAGTTAGAAACCCTAGGGGTTGCCTTTCGTAATTAAATTTTTGTACACATTTATCATTTACAATATAGAAAAGGAATGCCAATGTCATAGTGTTTCATCATATTTTGTTTCTAAACAACACGCAGGTAAGCTCTTTTTTTTCATACTCCATTTTCATTAAATCATTCAAGTTATTGTACGCATAACGTATCGATGATTATATATATTACATTATTTAACTTTGTTACATTACTCTTTTATCATCATAACTTTTACCAGTGATTTTTCGCGGTCCCTGCATTAAGTATATAAATACTTGTATCGCAAAGACCTAGTACCTATAAGTCCAGTAACTTATATGTGTGGCACACAGTTAAGTTAAAGTAGGTTCATGGGGTTTTAAAATAAGTTTAAAAATGATATTAATTTATAAACCTCCTTATGCTTTGATGTGGATATGCGTTTGTGTGTTTGTGCTTTTGCGGACGCGGTATGAGTGAATGTAGTAAAGTAAAGGGAAGTTAATTAATTATTGTAAATATACTTTCTGTTTACAAATGCACGGAATGATAATGAATTCGTTTGACTTAACACCCTATGTGTAATGAAGACCACGTTACATTCCAGATAGTTAAATTGTGATAAAAATAAACATATTGTTGAACTAATTTGATCTTTGCTGGAGTAGCTTAATTTTTTGACCTACCGCCTCTGGATTCGAATCCGGACTGAGGTGGACCTCAGAGTTTCTCAGAATTTATGAAAGAAATTTAATTTGAAATTTACCGTGAGGAATTTGCCAATGAAAATATCGTGAGAAAACCTTATTTTATAGTTTTTATGATGTGTGTATGTCCAAACCAGCATTGGACTCGTGTGGGAACTATAGACCATGCCCTCTCTTTCTGAGATGAGGCCAGTGTCATGTGAGACCTATATAGGCTCGAGGGCCATTATTATTATATTAGGCATTCATTTGATCTTATTTCAAACTGGGCCTACGACAATTTGTACAGTAATAGAACTAAGTCCACGAACTTTAGAATGCCCCAGATAACACCATACCTAATTATAAGCAGAGCGATAGTATTGAATTTATATTGGTTGGTTAATTACCTCCATGGCCGAACGGTTACCATGCTGGACTGTCACGCAAAGGTCCCTGGTTCGTTCCCCGGGCCGGAAGAAATATTCGTACGGCCTTAGATACATGTACATATTTCACTCATAAGTTAGGGTGTAATTTGTGGATGTCTATGGCACCCGCGATACAGAGTTTCCTTAGTGCGCGACTATGAGTGTGTGGAAAATAAAGTATTGGTCCGGATCAGTAGACTAATGAGGTCGTAAGGAATTTGACTAAAGCGTCCCAATATCTTGCCGACTCCCGAGCCTGCCTTTTCAAACAAGTATTGCCGTTCCTAAACTTTTATCTTAATATAGAATGCCAAAGGTATAAAGGTTCTTGTTACACCCGACATATCTTTCTATAGTATTTATATATATATATATATATATATATCTTTTTATAATCTTGTGTACATAAAGCAAGATATTATACAAGATTAATTATAATAATAACGCACACACTCAACATAGCCCCGCACTAGGGAAACCCTGTGTCGCAGGTGCCATAGACACACAGACAACCACAAATTACACCCAAACTCATGAGAAAAATAAATGTAGACCATACAAATATTTCTTTTGGCCCGGGAATCGAATCTAGGACCGGCATGATAACCTTTCCGCCACCGAGGCATTAAATTGTCTTAGATATACTTGAAAAATCTAGATTTTACCACGCAATTAACTATGTACAGGGTCAAGAACACGTCTAGCTTGACTCTTAAGACTTAAGGCCAACTCTATGCCGCTTCCGATAAGAACGGCCCAAAGTACAAAGTGTGAAGTTTGACGTGTTCTTGACTGTACATATTGTCGGCGTTTTGTAGAAAAGGCGAAAGTGCCATTTCGATACTTTTTTCAGGGTGTTTATTTTTTATTTATTTGTTTTAGGTTTTAGCGACTGTTTTAAAATATGGACGTCCTGATTTAAAATCAAATTTTTGTTTTAATTAAGTTTAAGTTTTAAAATTGATAATTATAACAAATAATTATGAAACATCGTGATATTCAATCTATTTAATAATATATATCTACAATCAAGGTTGATCTTTTGGACATTGAACCTGTGCTAGTGCTAGCAGCATAGAATTAAATTTTATTAATTAAAGTTAAAATTCTACCTTACATCTTACGTAGCTGCAAATTTTTGCAGTTAAGAAATATGACAGTTTCTTAACAAAAAATGCGTAGTGTACTGTCAACAGCACAGCAAGCCTTAACACTTTTGTACGAATATCGTCTCCAATGCAAAACGGAATAAAATCCATCAACGTATACCTTGATGTGCTGCTATCTATACCTGCTTGTAATTAAGAATTTGGAACTCTGTAAAACGTATGGAGACGTATAGTATATAACATGATGTTTTATTCAAAGGTTTCGCAATATCTTTGAGAACGTTTAATGAATTGAAATAAACCGACGCCATTAAACGTTTCATAAATAAACTTTTTATGCTCAATAAATATGAAAAGAGTACTTAACGTGGTCAGGTTACTTAAAAAGCGTAATGGGATCCCTTTGGTCATGGCTTAATTGGATTAATCACTCAGCACAACAGAATTTTAAGCATTTAGTCGTTCAGGAAGGGTCTTATTTTTGCACGCCCCAGTTCTTGCGGTCCTTTAACTGTTTTTTTTTTATTTATTCATTCAAGATAATCAACAGCCCATTACCGACAATTTAGTAGCAGTAGAGCTCCTTCCGAAAGAGTTCATCCAGGGAAGTACTACCATTTTACCTATATCTGCTTCCAAGCAGTAACATGAGCATTACTGCGTTTCAATTCTGAAGGGTAAGGGCGCTGGTGAAATTACAGACACATGGGACTTTAAAACCACGTTTCAAGGTGACGGGCGCTTTGGCAGTGTCCCTCGGATCTTTGCGATGTAAAGCTCTTAGAACACTGCAACTGTTATGGACAGGCGTGTAGCTTACCATCAGGCGCACGACTTGTTCGTCCCGTCACTTGATAAATTAAAAAAAGATGTATAAACATAAAAACATTTTTTTTTAAATAAAACATAAAAAACATAAGATAAAATTAAATAAGTATAAAATGATATTCAAATGTGAAAGCATAATTGAAATTCGTTTGAAAGATAAATTAGTTACCGGCTTCTAGAAATCAGTTGTTAGACAGAAATGGTGATACTTGTGTGCGATGTCACAATCTTTAACAGCGCCATACAAGCTACATGCTTTGATGGTTTTGCCAAAAAGGACGTAGCATCCGCGGAAGCACCCTCACCGCTTGCTTTAATTATTCCTAAAATCTATTCATAAATATCAAAAGTGATGTTAGTTGAGATCCAAAAATGAAATTCAGATTAACTAGCCTTAGAATTTGTTTGAAATTGAATGAATTTAAAAAAGCCAGTTTACTTTTATTCCTCGCATTAATATTATAACTGTCACTATTTTTCATTAAAAAACAATATTCTTCTTAACGTAAATTACATTTTCATAAATGTATAAGAATGTTAATTTTCTAAACTTCTCTCTCAAAGACATTGCAAATTGCCCTAAGCGCACATTTGTTGCAAGACAAACATTTACGTTGTACTAAAATAAAAAATTAATAATAGTTTATTATTCTAAGTTAATAGTATTTTATGCAATCGTAGCATATTGAGGGTTCTAAAGTCGATGACCGTGTTTTGGCTAACCTAATTATGTAATGATTGCATTTTTGTACAAGTAAATAAAATAATGAAACAGAACCAATATTTTATGTATATTTGTTATCAATCCATGACGACAAACGCATTTTTTTAATAAATTTTAATTCATAGGAATGAAACTATTTTTCCGGGTTTAAATCGCGTATATTTGTTTTTTCAAACAAACCGACGTTTCGGGCCCTTTACAGGTCCCATGGTCACGGTTGACTGAGGTGGTACAGTCTTCAACCAGTTATGTCTAACCTAAAAAAACCTAAGAACTCGATAAATTTTAATTCGTTTATTAGGTAGGCACAGGTTCCACCATACAGCCTCTTCATATATTTAGTTGAAAGTCAAACAAACGCTACAAAACAAAAACTAAATAAAACTAGCCAAGTAACGGTTAAACATATTTTAACTAATGTTTTTTTTTTCATAAAGATTTATGCACGGTTATATGCGCGGTTGCAAGACTTTTAGGCCAATTTAACCAATCAGGAGGCAGTTGGTACAGCGTTTGATTGGCGTCAAGTAACTATAACGTAACCTGTGGTAGTGTCCTAATTCACATTATAATTATCAAAAATACTTTTTTTGAAACTCATAGTTCTGTGTACAGAACTTTATTGAAATTTTTCAGCTCTGTGGCGAGTACCATAGACAATAGAATTTTGATTAGAACTAAAAAGAGCGCCTTTACGATATGGTCTATGATGTTCTAAATGACAGACTAAAGTAAAGAAGTAGAAAAAAAATTTGTTAATAAATATCCATTTCTCATAACAAATATACTCTAATTAAATTTGTATTGAATTGATAGTCATTTTTTTTGTGTGAAATTACCCCACTAGTTTGTTGTAATTAGGCGAAAAAGTCGTTGAAAAACCAAATACAAAGATCCGACAAACAAGCATATGGAAAAATTCGTGAGGTCCGCTGGTTCGTTCTGTGGCTTAGTTAGCATAGCGTCTGGAACGGTTTGATAGATATTCTGCCGGATCAAAGGATTGTTTTCTAAATGTTCGATCTTTGTATTAATAATTATAACAAAATGTACTCTACCTAGTACCTATGCACAAATAACTTACGCTCAAAATCCATTAACAAATATTTTGTCATACTGACTGTAAAGACGAAAATGCCTGTGTATATTATTTTACAGTCTTTCATCGGCCCTTATTAAATATTCTATCTGTAGCATTATTATATTTATATAACTCTGCTTTTACTTAGAATAATATACCCTAATGAGGTTTCCTTTATCTGATTCGCTTTATACTGTAATAACAATTTGTGTTTGTGTTGAAACGTTGAAATTATTTTACGATTGTGTAGAACCCATTTCTGAGAACATATTCAGTGTCGTGAAATCGACTGATAACTACCAATTTATAAAAGTGTTCTTTACTTACTTTAAATTATATTCTATTCTCATGGGTGTAGGAATGGAGCCCGCACAACGACGTACCATTCCTTTCTTGTATGACTGGTCCAAGCTGCAGCCTTAGCATGAGCCCGAAGACAAAAGCTATCTCTTCTTTGAACTATCAATTTTCTCTCGAAAATCTCGATTAAATTGACAGTTCGAAGAAGAGATAACTTTTGCCTTCGGGTTCATGCTAAGCCTGCTGGACTACAATTGGCGAGTAGGTAACTTACGCCGATGGCAAGCATTACAGCGTATGCCGTCGATACGATGAGAAGAAGTTATATTCTGCTGTCTTCTTCGCTCCTCTGATACCCTCATGCTAAACATTTCTCCGACTTCTATACCAACTCTTTTACCGTATCTGCTATCCGGCTGTAGTTCCCTATCTGAGACAATTCGACAAGTCCATTTCTTGGTCCCTTCAAACAAAGTGTCTCCTAACTTAAGTCTTTTTATAGTATCATTAACATTATTTCCCTGTGTTTCTTTTATATAAAATATAAAAAAACACACTATTATACTATAAATATTATATTTTTAGTTTTGTAAGAAAATTAAATACCATAACATTTCATTTTGTAATTTTATCAAATTATTATAAACAAAAAGCAAAAAGTCAACAAGTCGTGCGCCTGGCGGTAAGCGACACGCCTGTCCATAGCAGTTGCAGTATCGCTCACAAATTGAAATCATAAAGATTAAGAAAGAGACTTAAGATGACAAGTTCCATGTGCCTGTAATTTCACCAGCACCCTTTCCCTTTAAAACCAGAACGCGGTAATGCTCACATTACCGGTTGGCGGCAGAAATAACTAAGGTAGCAGTACTTCCTGTTATGGAGAGGCGTGTTGCTTAACACCAGGGGCACGCCTTGTTCATCCCGTCACTTAGTATCGGTATTGGTACGAAAACCCTGTATGGAATTTAAAATACACCCAAACTCACGAGAGACATAAATATAGGCTGTACAAGCATTTTTGCCGGCCTGGGAACTGCACCTGGGACCCCTGTTTGGTAACCGTTCGGCCACGGAGGCAGACTAAAGGTTATTATACAACTTCTGCGTACTTGGGTGTACCTTGTATGACCCGTTTAGCTCTCTCAGGCATTCTCGATCTAAGAAGTTAAAATTATATATTGTAATGATAAATGTATATTTACAAAGAGCAATCCCTAGAGTTTCTTGCTCATTCTTCTCAGGGGAATCTGCCTTACGAATGAGCAGTAGAGTGTAATCAGTATGACGATTTCAAATGTAATTAGTCTACCTATGAAATAAAGATTACTTGACTTTGGCTTTGCAGTTAATCAGTAGGTACATCAGCTTATTGTAATATACGTACGTACATTTTCGTTCTGCGTTGTCATTGTATTTTTTATGCAATCAAAGTTCCAATCATTCATTCATTTGTCAATTAAAATAATTAGTGTCACTGAGCCCTCCTCTGATTTTAGTCCTCACAAGTTCCTAAAAGAATAAACAAGATCTTGCAATAAATTTACAAGAGCACATTTCAATACATTTTAAAAAGTTAGAAACGATTTTTGTTCGGATATAAATCGCATGTATTTGTTTTTTGTCACAAACCAATATTTCAGGCTCTTTACTTCCTGATTCCAGAGTCAGAAAAAAGTATTGAAGCGATCGATATACAATTATATAATACATAGATCGAACACTTGTTGTTGCAGATCTTAGTTATTGGTTTTTAACGACGGGAGAGCGTCTGTATTGAATGAGTTTTCTCAGTTCGAACTTTGTAAAAATAATATATAAAATAAATAATTATTACAAACTAAGTAAAATTTTCACTTAGATTTCACAAAAAATTATTGAATATTATGATAGTAAAACATCGTGATCTCAATAAACAACATTTCGATCGATATATTTTGAAATGTTTTGATCCTGTACTCTTATTATTATTATTTACATTCTTGTAGCGACTGTAATCAACGTATTACGACGATGTAGACATGAAGGAACATGTACCTATTACCATCTTCAAAGCACGTAATTTATTCACTCCAAGTGTATATTATGAAACAGAGTCGGTACTTCTACTAACAAATTGTAAATTTTACCATAAATTGTGTTTGGAACGAATGAGAACCGTTAACACGAACAAGCAACCTCTGCTGCATATTCACAGTGTTGATATTCCGTTGTGTCCACTTTAAATACATATATATGGCAAATTTTAATACTGCTTGTGATGGAGACGTTGTACAGGCAAGGACCATTCTTAGTGTAAGAGGCATAGACTTCAATTTAAATATATGTCAAACTTGACGTGCTCTTGTACCTGTAGGTACAATATGTCATACTCACAGACGTTTTTTGTGGTCGCTAAGAAACTAAGCACTGCGAAAGTTCGTATAAATAATTGTTTCCTGCTGTATCTCACTTTACATGCTTTGATTGAGTTTCTTTGGTGTCCCCTTTTTTATTGATATTTATTACGATTGCGACTCGTGGAGCTTTGTTAAAGGCACGTCTTTTCTTCATTGCCAGTTGATATGTTATGAACGGGGTATCGATATTGAACGAAGCGTGAAATACGGTTAGAATTTTGTAAAATCTTTTAATGGTGGATAATGGACCTACTAAGTGCATTACGTACCTAAGTAAGCGTACTTAGGTACGTAATGCACTTAGTACATTCGATTGTAAGTTTGGTACTTGCACCTAAATGCAACATAATTAACTTTCGTACTATATTAGCTATTTATGATATCGTCGGGGATAGTGCAATTACGCGTAACTAGCATTGGATTATGTATATAGTTTCCATTTCGGTAATTTAGTGGCCAAATCAAATATCGTGGCAACCAAAATAGCGTGATTTAGTAGAATCTATTGTTGTCAGTCCGTAGATCACATGAATAAATGCCACAAAAAAAAATTACTGTGTGAACGAAAAAGCGCCAAAACAAGTACATTTAAATTTAGAATTCCAATACAAAACTAAACTGATAAAAAGACTATATAAATATGTACAAAAACATTTGTTGCGACTGCTGCGATTCGCTACAATTGAAGTAAATTAAACTACTATACCGCGAACCCATTTGAAATTAATTTACTTCCATTTTTATTTACCTGTATTTTCGCAAGGTAACTTTAATTTTCCTGATAGTATGTTTAGAGGACGCCAAGACACAGACACATAAAACGTCATACGATTCGTGAGGGATAATCTCGTACGACGACGCCCTGGACACTAAGATCCGTCTGAGGCACTCCTTTCTACAACAAATAAATGATAATAATTTAACTTATGTCACTTACGGTATACTTGGTTTTTAGAAACAATTTATTATTAATTCATGAATTTGCAAATCTCAATTCTCAAAAGAGAACCGTACTCATGTATAATCCGCAATTTTTAGCTTCGGAAATGAAATTGGAGGGGAAAGTTTATTATTTCGTCAGTCAATTTCTTACGTAATTTAGTGTTGGGTAGCGGCGTCGCCAACGAAGGTTATTTTGTTTTTGACAACATTCGGCCTTTTAGGGTGGTTTTTGTGCCTGTTGTAACGAATAGGATAATTGTTTTGTGGAAAATTCCGTTACATTATTGATTACCTGACCTAACGGTATGGAGAAAAGATAATTATTAAAAGAGTATTTTAAAAGATAGTGCTGAAATTCTGTTCTGAAACTTTAAACAGTTTTAGTAAAATTGGACTGCACTTTCATTGAAATTCAGGAATTATTTTACAGCATTGTTCGAAGTGATAATTTTAATTGATAATTAACACGACAATGAACTACTGAACAGAATACGTGACAGCCCCAACAGCCTCCTGAAGACTGTTGCGGAGAGATGTGAGTGCCCAATTATGCGGCACTTAATAAATAGTACTAGGTCAATAGTAGAGTATAAGTACTAACATAGTTTTAAGTCTGTACTAACACTTTATGGATCACAGTTGTCTTAAATAAAGAATTTATTATTATTATTAATGACCTCGATATTTATAAAATTAATTGGAACAACGAAATGCTACTGGTAACAATGTCGTCACACGTGTGAGTGTCAAAGACGTATCCAAACGTGCCAAACTTAGAGCTCATAGGACAGGAGGCATCATCAATAGGCAGTTCCCTCTGTCAAGGTACCTGTAAGTAAAAAAATACCATCGCATAATAAACAATTCTTTCGAATCGACGTTTTTTCATTTCCATTATCGAATTCACCGCGTCAAGTGCTCCACGAAATATACCATCCTGCGCCATACAAAACCGCAAAAAGAAATCCGCTACATCCAGTCTAGCCAAGGAATGGAATTGGATTTCATATACGTGATTAGCCAGTACGTAACACAAATATCGACACTGTCACGTCGATAACGTTCCGTCTCTAGCATATTAGTGAGAATCGATTTTTTTATAGGCCTATTCTATGTACGGATATGACATGAATGTGTGTTTTATCTGTGTATTTGTAAAAATAAGCTAGTATTCTCAAACTTTTGTTTCTTTTGTTTCACCATAGTGACACAACTCAATATTGCATTTGAACTCAAATGCAATCAAATCCTGTTCGGTTATAGTACTTATTACGGAGGTAATATGCTTTCTATGTGTGATACTTGGAGTTTAAGTTAATACAATCTGCCAATTGTGATATTTGGTAATACCGAACTAAAAAGTTGAATTGGTTGGAAGTTGGTACATTTTATATAATCTTTATCAAAGATCCTCGTCTTTCCAATATTTTGCTTCGTTATCCATCTTATGAAAAAGGAAGGTTTTAACTTAGTAACCGAACACAAGAAATATCTTTATTCCGGAAACTTGGTTATTGAAGATCTCCTTTTATCCCAATATTATAATCTTGAGTCAAATTATTGCTGCTATAGTATATGTATGGTATACTTAGTAGTACGTCTATGTAGATCATCACCATCAACCGCTTTATATATCCCACTACTGGGCATGGATCTCCTCTAAACAGATGGTGAGGGAACCGCCCAGTGGGAGAACGTTTTCTGCACAATCGAAAGGTCAACGGTTGGAACCCCTGTCTCGGCGTGTAATAATAATAATAATAATAACTTTTATATTTATTTTATTGAATATCGTCATAGTTTTACTACCATGATATTTATACGTTTTTTGTAAAAATACTCCATTAGTTTCTTATTATTAAAGATATAAATTCCTTCGATCTGACAGTGTAGATCGAAGAAATTTTTCTTTGTGTTTGTTCGGTCTTTTTGTCAACAATAATAATAACTCTTTTATTTCTAAAAGAAAAATATCTCTATTACGTTAGTAAAGAAAACTTAGAAGAAGTAATTTAATTCAAGAACAACATAATTCAATTACAAATTGTCATGCGCGCTTAATTTATTCTATCCAAAATTTTAAAATAGGAAAAACAAATCTTCCAGCAATAGCATTTAGAATGCTGTTGAGACAGCTTCTCTCGACTCAACAGTGAGACAATCTTTTTCCGCAATGTATGCAATAAATGCCTTAGTAGTCAACGTTTATTTGTGAATGTTTTAGGTAACACTAGCTAATGATGAAGCAAAACATCATGATAAAATTCACACGTCGAGGAAGGTTCGAAATTGCCAAGATATTTGTTTTCCTTGATCATGATAATTATCTATTACGTGGAGCGCACTATAAATTTCCGGAAAAAAATACTATAAATAGTCAGAAATGAATTTATTGTTTCTCAAAATATTCACCGTTAGCGTTAATGCACTTTTTCGTACGAATGAACCAATTTTGAAAACACTTATGCCACTCCTCCGTGACAATATCTGAATTATATTTTTCATACTCTTCGACAGTCTCTTCAGGTGATGAAAATCATTGACTGCGTAACTGGTTCTTAATTTTTGGAAATAAATAAAAGTCACAAGGTGTCAGGTCGGGACTGTACGCGGGATGGCTCATAAGGTCAACGTTGTTCATCTTCAAAAATTCATTTGTCTATCTGGCCGTGTGAGAACTGGCATTATTGTGGTGCAAGATGATACGGCGTTTTACGGTTATTTTCACGAAGTTTGTCAATAACTTCCGGCAAACAACCATTTGTTTGCCGGAAGTTATTGACAAACTTCGAATCGTTGTACCGTGAATGGTGATTGGTACACGACCATTCGTGTACCAATCACTATTCACGGTACAACGATTCTCCAAAGCTTTAGTAGGCACGTGTCCAGTTTTATTAAAAAAAGAAGCAATCATCCGCTTAGAGGCACTTTGCACGCGCGCAACCTTGGTTGGTTTCGGCTCATCTCGAAAGACCCAGACGCTCGATTGCTACTTTGTTTTGGGATCGTTACTATAAATCCACGTTTCATCACCTGTTACTATGTCCCACATCAAATTTGACGCCTCTTCGTTGAATCTGGTAAGCATGGCATTGCACCAAGTGACGCGATCCGTTTTTTGAGCCTCAGTCAAATCGTGTGGGATCCACCGAAAGCACAGCTTTTTCACACCCAAATGTTTGTGTAAGATTGATTGTATTTGACTCATGCCTATGCCTAAAAATGTCCGAATCTCATGGTATGTCACATGCCTGTCTGTTTCGATCATACGGCGCACAGAATCGATGGTTTTGTTGTTCACAGCAGTGGTCGTCCGACCATCACAAAATTCGTCACTGAGATTCACAGGACCGCGTTTGAATTCTGAAAACCAACTATAAATAGTCGTCTTGCATGGTGCTTTATCGCCAAAAGCAATTTGAAGCCGAGCGAAGCTCCGCTGAGCTGTTAAATTACACTTGAAATCGTAGAAAATGATATTACAAAAATTTTCACGAGTTACATCCATGGTGATGTAGACAACCAATTTCTAAAATGACGCCACAATGTAAAAACCGCTGTCGCTTGTTTATATCATTTATTTTATATTTTATTCACCTGAATGAAACAAACTGTATTCTGCATGCCAAAGAGCTCCATTTTCAAATGTTGTAATTACTTTTTAAATATTGTTTATGTAAGTGGTCAGTTTTATTAACTGCCTCCGTGGCCGAACGGTTACCATGCCGGACTGCCACGCAGAGGTCCCAGGTTCGATTCCTGGGCCGGGAGAAATATTTGTATGGCCTACATTTATTTCTCTCGTGAGTTTGGGTGTAATTTGTGGTTGTCTATGTGTGTGTCCATGGCACCCGCGACACAGGGTTTCCCTAGTGCGGGGCTATGTTGAGTGTGAAAAAAAAAGTTCCGGAAACTTATAGTGCGCCCTATGTTTATGTCCGATAATAATAATTATCCATATTGATTCATAGTTTTGACTAAAAATCATTACCAGGGAGAATATTTTGTACCGCGACATTTTTTAACCGACTTCAAAAAAAGAGGAGGTTCTCAACTCGAATGTATGTTTTCCTTTTTTTTTGTACATATGTTACGCGACAACTCAACATTTGTGAACCGATTTTGATGTTTTTTTTGTTGAAAAGAGAGTACAGTCAAGAGCACGTCAAGCTTGACACTTTGTACTTTGGACCGTTCTTATCGTCAGCGGCATACAGTTGGATTTAAATCTTAAGTGTCAAACTTGACGTGCTCTTGACCCTGGACCTCGGTTGTGGTCCCATTTAGATTTGAAGAAAATATTCCACTTCTAAGGGTGGCAAACTAGCAGACGAATCTGGTTTCGCGCAATTTCCGGTAACCGATCTCAATAAAACTTGGCAAATAGATGTAATTTCCCGAAATTTTAAGGTCGGTTTTTTTAGATTAACCACATGGCACAAATATGTTAGCGGTAGCATTCTGTTGTTCCAATTAATTTATTTATCAAGATAATTATAAGTTCGAAACCTCTTCACAACCCTTGAATATGGGTGAATGGTCTATTTACATACTAACAAACAATTAAGTGAATAAGACTAAGGCCGCAATTCATAAACATACATAAACGGGCGCAGTGGCAGTGCCGCTAAGAGCTTTATATTTGAAGCTCTGAGTGGCATTGGAACTGTTATGGACAGGGGTGTAAGTACGATTACCGCCAGGTACACGACTTGTTTGTCACTAGGTATTATAAAAAAACAATAAACAATGCCTACTTGCAATATTTTTATTGAATATCATGATGTTTTAACTGTCTCCGTGGCCGAACGGTTACCAGTGGTCCCGGGTTCGATTCCAGTGCCAGGAGAAATATTTGTATGGCCTACTTTTGTTTCTCTCGTGAGTTTGGGTGTAATTTGTGGTTGTCTATGTCTGTGTCCATGACACCCGCGATAC